ATCCCAGCTTGCAGCTTGCTTTGAAAATTGTAATCTGCCTTCAGGAGCCAGAGATCTGTGGGGGCAACTATGTCCCATGGCCTTGTGTCACTGCAACCCTGACTTCACTGCCCGCCTTTGTTCCCTGAACACCTGCCCTATGTCACGTAGCCTCCCTCAAAATAGTATAAAACCCTCGCAGAAACTTGAGACGCTGCCGTCCTCTTGTACTGCTTTTACGGGGGCAGAGGTGGTCGCTGGCCAGCTAATAAAGACCCTCAATTTGGCTCCATTAAATTCTCTCGTGGTCTGTTCGCGCCCTCCACACTACAACAGAGACCAGGGAGGAGAAACGGTCACCGCCCTGGTCCCTGGATCCTTGTGCCACTGACGTCCCGGATCCCACCTTGGTTAGACTGAAACATCCAACTGCTGAAATCAAATCGCGCTTTCGTGGGGGTGATAGGGAGGTGCCTAATTTCAAAAACTGAAATAATGAATAACAATAAGGGGATGAGATTTTCTCAATCTTAGATTCACTGGCTGTACATTCTGGTCCTTAAAACTCTGAGGTCGGCCGGGTGCGGTGGCTCACGCCTGTGATCCCAGCACTCTGGGAGGCCGAGGCGGGAGGATCGCTCGAGGTCAGGAGTTCCAGGCTGTAGTGAGCTATGACCACACCGCTGCACTCCAGCCTGGGTGACACAGTGAGACCCTGTTCTCTTAGAAAAACAACACAAAACAAAAAACAAACAACCACACCAGGCATGGTGGCTGACATCTGTAATCCTAACACTCTGGGAGGCCAAGGCGGGAGGCTGTCTCAAGGTCAGGAGTTCAAGACCAGCCTGAGCAAGAGCAAGACCCCATCTCTACTAAAATTAGAAAGAAATTAATTGGACAACTGAAAACATACAGAAAAAATTAGCCGGGCATGGTGGCACATGCCTGTAGTCCCAGCTACTTGGGAGGCTGAGGCAGGAGGATCGCTCGAGCCCAGGAGTTGGAGGTTGCTGTGAGCGAGGCTGACACCACGGCACTCTAGCCCGGGTGACAGAGTGAGACTCTTGTCTCAAAAAACAAAAAAAACTCTGAGGTTTATTTCCCTGATCTATACTAGAACCTCCTATGGTGTGAGCGCCCGTGTTGTTTCGTGTTTGATATCGCACGTTCCACTGTGCGCCACAAACAACTTCCCAGCTTCCTGGCCCTCTGCAGCTCCTGCCAGAGGGAGAACGGACATTCTCCGCGGTGCTCCAGACACGCAGAACCAGCAGGGCCTCTGAAAGAAAAACACGACCTCGGGAGGAAAACAACTGTTCTGGTGTCCACAGAGGAAAGTGAGGCTGGAACGCAACAGAAGAAAAACGCCTCGCGGGACCTCCCGGGAGCCGGCGGCGGCCTGTGCGTGGGCCTCGAGAGAGCGGACCCCACGTCCCGGATCCACTCACCTGTCTCTCCTTTGCCCTCTTCCTCTCCATTTCCTCCTTCCTCTTCTTCTTCAGCTCCTCAAACTGTTCCGTGGTCGGTAGTGACATCAAACCAAGCAACTTTTCCTGCAGGGAGTCACAGACGAAAACGGTTTTTTCCTAAACCGTTTTAGGAAAAAAAAAAGAATATGAAACTTAAGCCCCTCGATGAGAGTCTGCGTGAGCTAAGCCACGCTGTCCTCACACTGGGCCAGAGAGTCGACTTCCAAATAGGCCTGCGTCCTCCTTATGAAATGATCAACATCAGGCCAGGCGCGGTGGCTCACGCCTGTGATCCCAGCACTCTGGGAGGCCGAGGA